CACAATGACAGACTAAACACTCAAGTCTAGACTAGAGAAAGATCACTACAAACAGTCTTTGACCCTTTTCTAAGCGCACTTGGGCCTGATCATTCTACTGGCAAATGCTAGCTGCAGCATCTTGCCTTGTTAATGTCAAAGCGGGGAGGGGACTCGCATGACTGGAATCCAAAGGGTGGATTTGAATTTGCCACAAGCAGGGCCATCTCTAGGCAAGATATTTTTAGCAGTCACCCAGCACACATCCAAAGATACTCAGCTGTGGTTTGTTTATCTTCTCTGAAGGAGGCGTGGATTCTTAAAGAAATCCGCCCAGCCATGCACTCTAACGTCAATCATATTTCATGAAGATTTTTGAATGTGATCTGGGCTTACAAAACTAGTGACAAAAATGGTAAATATGCCAAAGTCTATTGATCCAGCTAAGAAAACAAACCATCAGAATCTCAATTTCTTAAAACTGGAAGTCTACAGTCACCTGTTGATTGGAGAGAGTTGAAGAGAAAATAAAGCGACTGAGCTGGGTGGGAGAAGTGACCCAGGAATAAGGGCCCACAGCGAGGTGGATCCCCCCACACAGTGGAACCCCAGCACAAGCAGCGAGGGATTCACTTCTCCAGGGCTGGGCACCCACACTCAGCTCGGTCAGCTCCCCGAGACATCACCTCCCTGCTCTCCTGCGCAGGCGACCTTCACTGCGCTTACGGTGTCGCTGCCTCATGTCTCTCAACCATGCTGTTGGCAACCGCCCTTGGTGAAATATTCAGACACATTAAAACTGATCATGGAAAAAAGAAGTCAACCAAATATACAAACCCAGTATTTCCCACAGGCAATAACGATCACCAACTGTGCAGGGCCAATCATCTGGCAACAAAGGAGATAACACGCACCCCAGTTTGCCTTTGCTTGCCATGTGGTCAGCATTGAGTGGGAGAATGTTACACACGTGAATTCACTTCAGGCAAGCTCTACAAAGTAACCCCCCCACACTTTACAGACAACAAAACTGAGACACAGCATACCATGTCCAATGTCACATGGTCACATCAAAAGGCAGAATGGCTCCAGCACTGAGACCGTGGCTCCAGAATCCACACTCTTAATGCTAAGTCTATGTTGCTAGTGGGGAACTGGACTATGCACATGTGCATAGGGTCACTGTGCTGTTAGAATTCATTTCATTTTCTAATCCTGTTGTTGTTTTCCTTAGCACATACGCTAAGTAAGGTATAATTTCTTGAGGAGACACAAAATTGATTTTTGTCCAACAGAATTAATGCATAAAAACACATATAAAATTATATCATGGTGTTTGGATTTATAAGTAGGAGACACAAGATGGTTGCTCTCTTTTGAAACTTTGAACTCTTTGAACTTCTATTTGAGTGTCACACTGCAAAGTGTTTGCTCAAGAAAACCATGCTGGCTGAGCCACCGGGTGTGGCTGAGAGCAGCTTTCCATCAAGGCATGGACAAGCTGGCAATAGCCAGGGCTGGTGTCTGCTGAGTTACCTGTATGCAAATCGATGCTGCACCATGCCAAGAAATACAGTAGGAAGAAGTAAAGATCTCAAAACGGAAGCTTCCAGAGAGCAGCAGGTCGGGTGGGGAGCACCTCCCACCCACGCCTATTCCAGCATCACCACCTTGGGTAGCCAAAGCATTCACCCACAGTTTAACTACTCAGAGGAGGCTATTTGTTCATGATCATCTAAACATTCAGAATGGTCTTGAATCAAGACCAAATTGAATCTCAAAACCATCCGAGTTAAGAAAAAAACTAGTACAAGTGAATAAAGTTGGCTATGCCATTGGCACAACCTGTGAGCTGCAGTGCAAGGCCGTCCTGGGTATTGTCTGAGTGCTAATTCTTACAAACAAAAGGTGTGATAACCAACATGGAAGGGCAATCTGATCTACTTGTGTCAGGGCAGGAAGTGGCTTATTTTGTTGTAATTCTGCTGACTCACAAGCAAACCTCCATATAAGAACTAAACACGTGCTTGCAGCCTGGACTGGATGCCAAGTGCCAGGTTTTAGGTTGGGGTGTGTGTGCGACTGTTCGGGGGTCTTCTCTTATGACAAGAATATAAGCGTACAATAAAGGGAGTGACAGCTTTGTGCTCATCAAACTCTTGCCCACCTTAAGTATTTTTAGACTAATGGAACAAGTGGGTTTGTTTTTTTAAGGGATCCAGTTTTCATCTTATTTCTTGATTCTACATTAATGTAAATTATGAAAACTTCAAACACAGGGGTTTAGCTAAATCCGTGTTTGGGGAAATTGGATTACACGAATCTGCTGTTACAAAATTCCAAGTGAGTGACAAAGAGACCACCAGACCCGAAAACAACTTCAAATTTTTTCCCCCAGTTTGTTTATATAGGATGAAAGTGTGAGACTCAATCTAGAAATGACAGCCCGAGTTTTGCGCACTGGCCCAGTAATATCTCTTTTCCCCAGAAAGCACTTACCTGAAAGTGGAGCTGACACACGCTTTTACCGCCTAGGGCTCAGCCTCAAGGACTGGGGAGCATTCCGCATCTTTAGATCAGAGATTAGGGTGCTCAACAAATAAAGACTATGCAAATGTTTTCAAATGGAAAATCTCCATATTCAGAAACACCTCTCACTCCAAACACTGGGTTAGGGATACTACAGGTGAATTTTAGCCTCGGTTAGAGACCTGTATGGTCTCCTCACTGAAGCACCACAAGACCTACTCCTTGCAGAGAAGGAGGGTCCTGTATAGTGTTGGGTACTCAAAGGTTTGCAGAGGGCCAAGTCCCAAGACAAATTCTTTCCGGAGTTGATGAGAGGGTTAAGCGTGCCCTGTGGCTAGTCTCCAAAGGCAGCAGCCAGTGGCACTGACACAACCTAGTGTGTACTGTGTGGGTGGAAGAGGGCGGAAAGAGAGAAAAATGGGGGGTAGTGACCTCAAGTTGAGGGGGATTTCAACTTCATAAGCCCCAAGGGTAGTTAGTATAAAGCCTTTTGGTCCAAAAACAGTTAATTTTCTTCAGCAATTCTTACAACCTTTCATTTTGCAATCCACTCGCATTGTTTTATAACATCAGTCCAAATACAATAAAAGCAATTTGAACCACAGGATTTTCTTACAGAAAAGCAAAGTCATAACAAAAAGGCATAATCAGAAAATGAGAACAACCTACAGGGACAGAATAAAGGCTTGGCTTCTACATTCTGAAATAGGCATACCTTTTTAAAATGGACAGTTCCTTTTTGTTTTGTGAAGATGGCTTTTAAAAATTAAGGAGATTTTGCAAGACAGAAAAAAAAAAAACCCAACAGAAACAAAAGACTCTCCTAGTATATATTTTCTTAGTAAATTATGTATTGTCTGTTAATCCCTGGTTCATTCCCTGGTTTTGCTTTTATTTTTCCCTCAATGCAAAGTTGTTAGAAGCTTATTTTTTTTTCATATGGCTTTGCAGCGAAGTTTAACTTTCAATGAACCATTTCTTGCTAAATTTTTCTTAGCACATTTATTCAATTCCTTGCTTAAAAGCCACAATTTATGTGAATAGCTGAAATGTATGAAATTTTACTCTAATGTCAAACTCAAAAGGAAGAACCAAGACAGTCCCCTTGGGATGTAACCCCTTGCCAAGTATGATATATGGAGGCAAGGATCTTCTACAAAAAGTGGTTTCAAATCTAAGAAGATATAAGGCTAATGGAATGTGTTCCAATCAGTCAGAAAAGGCTGTACCCTACCCTGATGTCATAGCAATGCCAATAAGATTAGCAATCCCATATCAAAAGCATGTGTTCAGGAGTTTACCACATGTTACATCACATTTAAGTGATAGGATATTCAATGTAAGCTGTGTCCCTGAGGATCAAAGAGGAAGTTTTTCAGAAATTTATCCCAGGTTGGGAACTCTTTAGGGGCTAAAAACTATATCTTACAATCATCGAATGTGACCAACTAGGAGAAAGATGGGTCACTGTTGAAGCAGATGTGCTGGTGCCAACACATGCTCCTGCCCCCTGCACCAGACACGGGAGAGAGCACAGCCCGTGCAAGGTGGCTCAATACCACAGCACCTGGCATATGTCCTTACCTTTAATTACGCTGTTAGTAGTCTTTTTCATCTCTGGAAGAAAGGCTATTTATTAAAGTTTGTTATGAATTTTTTTTTTCTTTTTCAAAAGCAGAGAGAGAGAGAGAGAGAGAGAGAGAGAGAGAGAGACAAAGGTCTTCCATCTGCTTCTTCACTCCCCAATTGCCCATGACTTGGAAGCCAGGAGCCAGGGATGCTAGCTGAGTCTCCCACATGGAGACCCATCCTACGCTGCTTCTCAGGAGCATTTGCAGGAAGCTGGATCAAAAGCAGATACACAGAAAGAACCTGACCCCAGGCACTCCACATATTGGGATATGGCATCCTACACTACAGCTTAACATGTTACACCGCACATTTACCTCCAAAAGGCTATCTTAACAGCAGTTTGGAATACAAGACTCTTACCCACATTTTATTTAAAAAAAAAAAGAAAAAAGAAAAAGCATGTGACAGTACAGTGGGGGAGGTATTGATCATGTAATGATGATGTATAATTCATTTTGAAATGCAGCCAATGGTTCCTTAGAAGGGAAGGGAGTTGTGGATTCTGGTGGCATTATACTTGTATTCATAACTTCATTTGCATAGAAGTGATATTGAAATGGTTTGCAATTTTTTGAGCTTGGAGTACAGTAAAAAACAAGAAAGGAAGGAAGAGGAGAGAGAAGAAAGGAGGGAGAAAAGAAGGGACTACCCTACAATTTCCAAACTTCTCAGCAAGAATCCACAAAACGGGTAACCCACACAGCAGCTGCTGGCTAGCCTGACAGAGAATACCAAGCACAAAGAACCCTTGAGCAACAGGTTAAGACGCCTTCTGAATGTACCAGGCAGAGCTTTCTGGCTGGCGGCTGGACCCTCACCATTTCAGCTCTCAGCTGACTCACATGGAGCAGACTCCTCACCTGGGACTTCAGGAGAGAATCTTGCAGAGTGTCGCGATACAAAGAGCTTGAGTTCTTGGTCCAGATTGCACTCGATCAGGTTCGTGTCCCACGATCGGATTCCTAAGGAGGGAAAGGAACAGAGTTGACGGGCTTCTGGGGAGTCACCACAGCCTGGCGAGGTGAGGACACGGCTTGGTGACAAGCAGAGGGCATCGGCAAAATGGGAGGGCAGGGGAGGTCTCCCCAACAGGCCACAAGGGAGGGCTGACCACCAATGTGGGGTGACCTTCTGCCCTCATAAACTGTAAATGCAGCTTTCCTGGAAGAGTAAAAAGAAAACAGTTATTAGGAAAATGACAGGCTTCCCTCCAGGGAAGCAATAAAAGAGGCAGGACAATGGCAAGTTCTTCTGTGGCTGAAAGGCCACCAGACTAGTCTCTAGCTCTCCCAGGAGCCACTGTAGGTGGGAAAAATCCTAGAATGAAGGCAGGGGGGCACAGTGAGCTGCCTTCAAACCTAGGCCTGGGTTTCCAACTGACGGTCTGTGTGCATGCTTAATTTCATTACTTTGCCCCTCCCATTGGTGGTCACAAATGTTCATTTCAGAGGCTGAGAGACAGAGCAAGAACAAAAGAGAAAGAGAGAGAACTTTCTGGATCACTGTCCAAGTGCCAGGGTTGGGCAAGGCCAAAGGCAGGAGCCAGGAGCTCCATGGTTCCCACATGGTGGTAGGAAGTCAGTTACTTGGGGCATCACCTGCTTGGAGGGCTTTGCACTGCGGGGAGCTAGAATCCGGGGCCAGGGATCGGACCAAATCCAGAAGCTCCAGAGTGGGACTCGGGTACCTTAACCACAAAGCCAAATGCCCACCCAGCTTTTTGACCTTGATCTCTCACCCTCCCTCCCCGGGTATCCTTCTGATACCTGTGTTAGCTTGGCTAAGGAGGCTGGACCAGCCCTCCAGGCTTGGCCCACAGGTCAGGGGAGCTTTCGCTTGAACAGGGTGGCGGGCAGCTCCTTCATTCACAATGGCTCCTTGTATAGAACTTTTTTTTTTTTCCTCCAGAGGTAAAGACTTGTGGCCAGTGACCGCACTTTACAAAACTGTGATGGGGTCGGGGGCCAGGGATGTCATGCCTCCTTTCTCTGGGCTGAGCGCAGCACAGATCAGAAACATAGCAACGGCGGTTCCTGCGCTCGTCGGCTTCTCTGCACTCTTTCTCCCTCCTCTTCCTCTCCTGTCCTCCCAAAGCAGAGCTCAGCACAGCAAGCCAGGGGAGCTTGGGACACCCCAGGACTCTGGGATGCCTGTGTGTGTGTGCATACATAAATCTATGATATATACATAAACAGATATGTCACATAAAATTGCATTTTATGTATGATAGCAATCATGTATCAATGTGCATAAAATTATATTTTATGTCACGTAAAAGAATATTTAAACTATACAAAATGGTTATTACGACATTTCCACAAAATTGCTCTTTTAAAATTATCCTTTTCCCAAATAAAAATACATCTTTCTATGCTTGTGCCCTCGTATAGGACAAACTAGGTGTCTATATTTCATGTCTCCTGAGGACAAGGGGTTGAGCCTCTGAGTACCACGGCAGATTCATCATCTCCCGATAAGCACCCACTCATTTCTGAGCTTTCATTCACTCATAGCACATAATGGCTTGGGAGTAGAGACGGTAATATGTTATTTAAACACAGCTCTCAATCCTTCATGCATGTCTCTACAGACCTCCGTGTGTTTTACGCAGCCTTCCTGTCACGTAAAGAATCAAGATGCCTAAGCTACAGAAAAGCTTCCGGACACTCCACTTAGTGCGTATCAGAAAGATCTTCAGCTTGTACACCGAAGGCCTTTGCGATCCTGAGGTAGGTTTAGATAGATGCATGTCCATTAAACAGAAACTCCTCCCCTGAATAATGGGAAGAACTCAGGTGTGAAAAAGCTGAGATTCCTAAAGAGAGACGCAATTAGAAGGGACCATTTTATGGGTCTCCCTAGAAACATTAATGGCCTCGGTTTGCATCTATGCTTAATGGAGTACTGAAATCTGAACAAGAAAGGCATATTGCGATCTCCCTGGCTCTTTTCACTTGCAGAGATGACAAATGGGGTCTTTTTGTTTCATGGAGAGCTTGACAGGTTGAGAGGTCTGAATTCATTAGAATATTTTACTTCAACATATACACTATCTATACGCGCCTCGAGTGAAAAATCGCTGGGCGCCCGTCTGAGCTGCTTAATTAGTATTGTTGACGTGAGTCCATGCTGCAGATCAGAGCTCCATTCTGTCTTCTGGCTTGTCAGGCTAGGTCAATAAGTTAATAACAAGACACATGTATTTAAATGACATTCATATGATTGTTCTGTCTTTGTGCTCGGTAACGTCTAAATGGCCGCATTATCTGAACAACTCCATCCGAGGTTCTGCCTAGACCTGTCGGTGGCCAATTTCTCCTTTGGCTTCAATGAGTCTGTCATGGCACAAGCAATGGCTCTTTCCATCTATATTTGTAATTTAGCAATGGATAAGTGCTAAAGGAGACACCCACTCAGTAATTTTCAAAGTGCGCCAGTAAGTATGCAGTATAATTATTTCTCCTTTACACACACCTCTGTGACAAGAAAAACTTAGGATTCTCTTTTTAAGAAAACACTTTCCAGCCAAATTAGTTCTTAACAATGCACAATTACCAATAGCACTTGGAAAATCAAGGTTACAATGGGGACTGCTATTTATTGTGGCTGGAAAGGAAATTTTGGAATCAGGCCACTTCTTGAACTGATTTTAGAACCAGCATTCTTCCAACCTTCTCATCCTGGACGTGTTTCCCAGCGGCAGTGAACATGGCTCATCCCAGGGTTCTCCCTAACGCAGCCAGCGGTGGCTCAGGCTCAGGGGACTGAGCGCTATCCTCACTGGCCTTGCCCGCAGCCTCCTTTCTCTAAACGGATGGTTAACTCCTGGCGAGTTGGCAAAGAGGTTCTCAGCATCCGGTCAGCCTGGCCTCTGATGGGGGCACAAACATCACGAGACACCGCTGGCCTTTTTCTGTTGATCTCTGCAATGCCCTCCCTTGAGGCCTTACTTCTCCCACATTCTAAGAGGACTGTGGTCCTTTCTGGCTTAGCCTAGTGGGGGAGAAAACTACCTATGGATCATGCTGCAAGGGCAGACCCTTCGGCCATGGCCCAGCCCCGGAAGAGGTGGTGGTCTCTCGAGCTATCCTGCGTGACATGGAGGATAACAAAGGATCTTGCTCCTTCTCACTCCCCTGACCTCAAGGGGTAGCCGCACACAAAGAGGAGACACCCCAGCTCCTGACATTTACAGATGGACAAGGAAAAAGAAAAGGTAGGGGGCAGAGGCAGCACAGAGCAACCCAGAGTGAAAAATGACAGTGAGTCAGGAATCCTGGCGTGCATAGGCTGGAGCGCTCCCAGCCTACTGCTCCGGCAAGCCTGATGCAGTAGCCTCAATGAAACCAACAATTACAAAGGAAGAGCATCTCCCTGTGAAAGGCCAGCTGAGATCCATTCGTTTCCTGAAGGAGACAGCCGGCCCAAGACAGCACAATGAGAAGCCCTTGTGCAGTCAGATGTGCATGTGGCTGGCACACAGGTTTTCTCTGACAGATTGAGGTCCTTTTGTGGGATTTCATTGTCCACAGTGAGAAGGAGGCTGCTTACATTCTTTTTTTTTTTTTTTCAAATCTCAAAATGGTCAACCTGTAATCATTGGCTTTTGTTTGCAAAATGGAGTGAAAAAAAATGATCTGGAATCAGATTAGAATCATAAACTTGAGACAAACAAAGGGAATGCGAAGTTCAGGAAGGTTTCATTTCTCACAGGCTACTTCCTACTTTTCCTGCTCTTAAAACAAGCCAACAGCTGCATGTGTTTATATGCAGTACAAACAATAGATTTTATCCAGAGATCTGACAGTTTCAAAGCACTGCTCATCATTAAACCTTACAAGACCTTTTACAATAGACGCCAAAGGAAAGCAATGGAATATTATTTACTGACCTGGAAGTTGCAACTTGCTTTTTAAAATAAGCCCTGCAAGACGAACCACAAACCATCAACTTCATGACCTGAAGGTTGGGGACTGGCTTGTCTTTCAACTTGACCCACAGAGCCCTTAGTGGATAATAGCAGGGAAGCAACGTGAAGCAAAGAATCCTCTTTCTGGACTTTGAAAAATATAAGTGATTTAACATCTCATTGACTCCCCCCAAGGATGGTTTTGGTATGGTTTGAAATGAAAGAAAAATGAAAATTAGATGCCAGATCTTTCCTAGGTTACTGTCTCAGAGGGAATACAGTCCATCAAGGGACATCAGCATGTTACAATGTAATCAACTGAAACTACAGCTAAAAATCCAGGGCACGACAAGTTACAACATCTATCCTTTCATGAACAAAGCTTGCTGATTCCCAGTGTTCAACCAAGGCAAAATGACACGCTTCAAAAATCTCAAACTGCCCCTTAGCATTCCTTATATGTTCTAGTTTCTGAAAGAAAGGAAATAAACCAAAGAAAGGCAGGTCCTTGCACAAGGCTCTAGAACAGTTTGCCAGGTCTGACTGCAGGAAGGACGATCTTGAATCTCTCCTGCAGGTGAATCAGCGAGGGGGCAAAGGAGACCCCAAGGAACAGTGACTGTTGGTTGTGTCCAAGGTTTGGAATGAAGTCCTGTGATACCAAATCAATAAAGCTAGCTCCGTGGGAGGAAACCATTGTTACACCTGGCTGTATGAATGCGGTTGAGAAAGCAACAATAACTCCCTCTAGCTTGGATTCAAGAGCATTTACTAAGAATCCACTCGAATACTAAATATCCACTCAGCCTGTGGGTTACTGTGCAGCCATCATCTTCCTTGTCATTATGATTTCTTAGACTTCCCAGGGAGCCCTGGGTAATCCAAGTCACCAGGGTCTCCCAGGCCCCTGCGTCTCCGTGAAGCCCAGGAGGGGCCCAGGAAGCAAGGCTAACTGATGCAGAACAGGCTGCAGCGCACCATCAGGGCTGAGCCCCCGGGAGCAGCTCCATCTAGCTTCACACAGCGGCCCCGCAGGCACCAGCAGCTACAGCAGCAGCCGTGACCTCTGCAGGAGACCCAGCTGGCACCTGCCTGCTGAGTCCTGCCTGCTGGCCTGCCTGCTAAGTCATCTTAGCCTCAGAGGAGCTCTGTGGCTTCAACTACATCCAGACCCCAGGACCCAAGGGAGCCATCTCCAAGGGAGAGCAGCATCTGTTATCAGCGTGCGGAAGGAAATGGCTTCTTGCTCACTCACTTAGCTGCTGCTTAATGGGATCGATACAGCCATTTCAAGAGTTCCATGCAAACACCTGACCAAAAGAGGGAATATACACTCAGGAAGGCGGAGGGATCACCCAGGGGGCTTCGGGATTCCAGGAAAGGTTGTTCCTGAGCTGGGTGACATAGGTGAGTCCACTTGAACTCCACAGCTCCAGGGGGTGGAAGGTGCGGACCGCCACAGAACACTGAGCCGATGTTTTTTTTCCTTAATTTTTTTTAAGCCAGGGAAACAAATCCGAATGTTATCCCTGAGGCCTGCAACAGTGTGTTAAAGAATAAGCCGGAGGGCTGCCGCCTGAACAAACCCCCTGGAGAACGCGGGCACTAAGAGCCAGATGAGCTGAGCCACAAAGCAGCGAGATAATGACGGTTGCCAGGTGACTGTTGAACCGGCTCCCGGCAAGGGGCGCTGCCCACAAGTGGATGACTACAGAGGCCAGCTCGGCTGCGTGAAGATCCGCCTCTGATGTCCGCCTGCCTCCACCCGCACAACGTGACAGGGTCGGGAAAGAGTGACGCTGCAGCACCGCACTTGTCAGTCGCTCACGCCTGCGGTGACCTTGAGCCTGCCAGCCTCGCTCAGATCCCCCTTTCCGAAACGGGGGACCGAACCCCTCTCCGGGCACCTCCTGGGACAGGAGTGGGGAGGGATGGGGGCGTGCAGACTTTATGGCTAGAAAAGCACTTGCTCAGATGTGGTCATCTGTCAGCAATGCTGCTGACCAAGGATGACAGGAAAAAAAAAATCCAAAGTCATTCATCCCCCACAATGGCCACACCCAAAGTCGGGACAAGTGAATTTTCAGGAAAAAAAAATCGGGGACCAAAAGAAAGAAAAAAATCCACCTAATTTAAATCACATCTGCTCAAAAACCTATAGTTGGAAAACGAAGGGTTATCGGCTGTTCAAGCCATTTCTCTATTGAAACGGCTCTTGCTCTGGATTTTTTCAAATGAAATACCATCCAGGCTTTCTGCTCACATTTTTTTTTTTTTAAGCTGAAAGGGAAAAGCACAGCTTTAAAGTTAAACAAAAGAACCAGACCAGCAGTTCCAGTCCCCACCCAAGCAACCTTTTGTTCCCGAGACCAATGGCCTTTTCCAAACCAAGAGGCCAAAACTCCAGCATTTCTGTTTTTGGAAAAAAAAAAAAAAAAGCGAGATTTTTTTTTCTGTCGTCTTTGCTTGGGGAGCGGGAACGAGGGCTACGTTCTCAACGCCCTTTGTCCGCCTCGGGCTGCCGTAGAGACCGCAGTGCGGACTGCACCACGCCCACCAGCCGGTGTCTCCCGGCACAGCCGCTCCAGCACCCCCCAGGAGAATAGGGCGCTGGCTGCGGCGCCCCGCGGCCCCCTGGGCAGGGCAGGGCAGGGCAGGGCCGGCAGAGAGCCCCGGGGGCCCGAGGGCAACAAAAAGCCGGGCAGAGAGGGAAAGGAGGAGGAGGAGGGGGCGAGGAGCGCGCCCAAGCCTCTGAGCCCCCGCGGGGGCGCACGGCCGGCTCGCCGCGCCCAATGGGGGTACCGCAGTGCGGGGGACAGGTGCGGCGGGCAGGTGGGGGCACTGCGACATCGCGGGTGGGGCCGGGTCGGGCCGGATCGGGTCGGGTCGGTTGGCGCTGTGGAAGGCTGCGGCCCCGCCCTGGGTTGCCCGGGAACCGCTATCCGGCCTCTGCGGAGCGCGCTTCGGGTGCGCACCTCGCCCAGGGGCTGGCCCTCCCTTCTCCCCCCCCCCCCAGCCCTGACTCCCGAAGATGAGACTTGGAAAAGCAGCAGCCCCACCCTGCAACTTGGGGGTCCCATTGTCCTTTCCGAAAGCTGCAGCTAGGGGCCCCCAGAGGCGGGGATGAGGTGGACTTCGCTGCCTGGAAGGCGGGCGAGGGCGGCTCTCCATCTTTGCGCCCTGGGAGTGAGGCGGGGGGTGGTGGTGGTGGTGGTGGGGAGCGGGCGTGGCCCTCGGACCAGCCGATTCATGGGGGTGGCGAGGAAGGAAGGAAGGATGGAGAGCACAAACCAGAAAGGGCATTTCTAGGGGGCTGAGCGGTCCGCGGTGAGATGCTCGCTGTGCCCCAGGTGTGAGGGCACGGACAGAAGGGCGGGGGCGAAGGGAGTGGCTGTGTCAGGGCTCCCCACCCCGCTTTTCTTTCCTCCTGCGGCTGCGGCGTTGTTATGGCTCCTGCCTCTTTGACACCTGCCTTTCATGGGTAGCGCAAGGCTGCGGACCCAGCCCAGTGACAGAATGCTCAAGGTTACCACAGACTCTTCTTCCCCCCTCTGGGGCTCACACCCACTCAGCTGGCTTGTGGGCAAGGAGGGGGCCCGGGATGGGGGGGAGGGGAACAGCGGCGCCCTGGGGTGGGGTCGTGTGGCTGCACGCGCCCGGGGAGCCGCTTACCGAACTCGATGTTGCCGATGGCACGCCGCAGGTGCTCCTCGGTCACGATCTCGCCCACGACCACCAGCAAGTAGAACTTGCTGTCGAGGAAGCGGTGCGACAGGCTGGGCGAGGTGGATGTCGCCGGGTTGGCGATGCCGCCGGAAGGCTCTGGCTCGGTGGCCTCCACCACCACGGTCGCCATCCTGCCGGCTAGCTGAGCTGCGCGCAGTCCTCGCTCCGACCGCTCCGCTCTCTCCTCTGCGGCAGGAGAAAGGATTGTCCCCGAAGGTGCCGTCGGCGCTCCGCCCCCTGCGTCCCCCTCCTCCCGGCGCCGCGCGCCGCCTCTCCCCTCCGCCCTCTCCGAGCGAGGCGGAGAGGAGCGGGCAGTGAGAGAGGGCGGGGAAGCCGAGCTGCTTTTATATGGAGACCAGGCAGGGAGCCGGGGAGGAGGAAGAGGAGGAGGAAGGGACCACCCGGCACATCCTCACGCGGTGGCAGGCTCCGCTCTTCCAACCGTTGGCCCAGGGCTGATGTCATCCGCAGCAAATCATCTCTCCCGCGGCCCGGAAGCTGGAGGGACAAGGTGTGCGGACAATGGTCCGGGCAGAGCCGCGAGCCAAGGGGCTAGGGGACCAGAAGGGCTCTTGCTGCGGCTCTGGAGGGGCAGGGCTACCCCCCATCTCGGGCCCCGCTTGCGTCCCACATCCGCACCCGCACGATCCGGCTGCATTTCCAGAGTGGGGCTGGCTCTCTGGTCCAAGGCGCAGTCAGGGCCTGTCCGCCCTAGAACCTTCCTCGCGAGAAAGCTGGATTTTCAGATGTTCTTTCTGGCTGCAGCAGCAAGTTGAGGGTACCCCACCCAGAGAGGCGAAATGTTGTGCATTTAGGCCTATTTACCATTATTCACAAATAGCCCTTTTATCGTCTTCCTTTAAAGAATACGCCAAAAATGCAAAATCTAAGCCTCCTGTTGACCAGTCTTGGGGATCGACACTGCAGGAGTTAGTAGGTTAAGAAAAAAAAAAAAGTGCTGGCTTGTGGTGTTCCAGGGGATGAAGGGAATACAGATGTATTATCTTACATAGAGATTTTCTTTTCTTAATGCTATGCTGAGCAGAACAGCATAACAGAATAAAGAGAAGGTGCTGTTGCTACTCAGCAGGATTACAGTGACTTAATGTTCTGTTTACTTCCTCGGGGAACACAGAAGCAAAATTATTTTATGTGACAACGATGACTTTGAAAATATATGCAGCTTTGGGGATTTCTTATTGTCTTTGTTTAGAAGACCTTGTAAAAATGCATCGACAACCCGTCTACCCAAGGTTTGGACTGCAGCTTGGGTCCCAGGAATGCACAGGGGGATCGTGGGGGAAAGTGTTGGAGTTTGGGCGAAGAGGTCTGGATGGCAAGTCATGTTCATCAATCCAGCTTTGACATTAGAATACAAATGAGGTGTTCGAGAAAACACCAGGATTTCCGAAGTAACCTTAAGTGTTCCCTGGTCATATGCTCTTGACTCTGGGCTCATTCCGGAGCCCCTGCCATGGGGGATCCGCAAGGCAGCCAAGCGCTCTGAGTCCCACCCTCTGCCTGCTCACATCAAGGGGGATGAAGAGCCTGTCTGGCCAGCAGCCCTTGGGCTCTGCCCCTTGGAGAGCTGCAGCCACTGGGGAACAGAGACTAAAGGCTTCCTGCTGAGCTGGTCAGGATATCCGGTCACCATTGGAGAGGTGAGGCGGGCACCCAGGTTCATCGTGGAAGAAGGAGAGAGAGTGACAAGCATTTTCCAAAAGTCCTTGAGTCATCACTCAGCCTTGGCTAGTGTTTTGGTTTTTTCCCTTTTTTTTTTTTTTTTTTTTTTTAAGCAGTCCTTCTGAACCACCATCACTTTTATGTCTGTGGTTGCTTTCTTTTACTCCACTTACTTCTTTGACTTGGCAATTATGTACTTTGGAATGCAGTTCCAATGACTGTGTCAAGGCAAGTGCAACTGTCACATAGTAGGTATTTCTAAAAATATGCCCGGTGAGAATTAGATAATGTGGTTACATTGCTGTTACATACTGTTGCCATTTACCCCAGACCCTCCCACTTCAAAGCAGATTAGCAAGTGTTAGAGGTGTTGCACACACACTGGCGCAGGACTGACCTGTTCGCCCTGTTACCGCGGAGTTAAATGAGAATTACAACACAACAGCTCTGTGTGAGTCTGCACAGTGAATGAGCATGCACCCCCTTTGTCAGAGACTGGCAGGCTGTGAGCTAAGGGTACTCACTGATACTTTATAGCTTAGAAACTTTGGGCAGCTGACTGCTGCTTTTGGCTCTTTGGTCATCAGGTCTGTAGAATGGAAAAAATGATATCTTTGTAACTGTGGCATTAGTAAGAGGAGAGCAAATGAGCGGACATGGGAAAGCTTCTAATATAATAGTTGGAATACAGTAAACAAGGAAGATGGGACTTTTTCTCCCAATTCCTTGGACAATGAAGCGAAAGCAGCTTTGTAGAAGGTGCAGGAGACACCTGCAATACCATCTACTTCCAAACTAGAAAAGCAGTTTCCCATCCCTATCCAAAGAAAAAGATCACAGCTCCAGAAAACAACTAATGTGGAAGAATGCCTATACTACCAGCGGCCAAGGCCAAATCACCCAGACGTCCCAAAGGCTGCTCAAACTCAGCACACCGCAAGCCCAAATCATCAGTGCTCTCCAAACTCGATTCTCTCTCACTTTGCCTTTCTCCATGAGCAATATCCACTTGTATCCCATGACTCAACCCAGAAACCTCATACACGTCTTAGACCCTTCCCTGAGTCTTTAAACTCCTATGCAATTTAGCATAGAGTCTGTTCAATTTAACCTCCTCAGCATCTTTCCAATCCACCATGCCACCAACATCAAGGGAGATGGGGCATTTGTATAGAGAGTAAAACATGAGGTTTTAGGCTGTCTGTTTCCAAATCCTAACACCACAATTTATTACTTGTGTGATTTTGGGCAGGGTGCTTAACCACTTACGTTTGATTTCTTTATTTGTACAGTGGAGGAGAGTACCCACCTCATGCCCAGGGCACAGGTTAAATATGCAAAGTACTCAGAACAATGCTTTATTTAGGACAATGTTCAATAGTGCTTTTCTGTTGTTGCTGTTGCTTTTAACATTTTACTATGGAAATTTTCAAACAGTAGAGAGTGTTAGAAATTTCACTGTACCGATTACCTTCAATCAAATTTATAAATATTTTAAATGATTTATTTTTATTGAAAGGGCAGATTTAATGAGAGGATGCAAGACAGAACGATCTTCCATGGGCTGGTTAACTCCACAAATGGTTGCAATGGCCAGAGCTGAGTCGATCCAAAGCCAGGAGCCAGGAGCCAGGTCTGCCATGTGGGTGCAGGATCCCAAGGCTCTGGGCCGTCCTCCTCTGATTCCCCAGGCCATAAGCAGGGAGCTGAATGGATAGTGCAGCAGCTGGGACATATACTGGTGCTCCTATCGGATGTCAATACTTGCAGGGGGAGGATTAGCTCATTGAGCCATCAAACTGACCCAAGTCAAATGCTTTCACATATTAATTTTTAAGAATTGAGATTGAAATGTAGTGCATGTATTTCAGTTGACTGCTCAGTCTTAATTCTTGAATTTGTGAGTTCCAACTCTTTTCCTTGCATTTTGTTGTTCTTGCTGTTGAACAGTGGAAACATTTGTTCTGCGGTTTCACAGAGACTGACCTTGCTGATCATATTCGCTGTGGTGTGTCTGACGTGTGCTCATTCTATCTCCTGAAGCTTCTGTTTCTTGATCTTCAGATCCAGGGCCTCCATCAGATCCACATTTGTTGTTTTTGCAGGTACTCTGCACAGTGCTACTGTGTTTTTGCAACCAGAGGCAAAGAACGAGGTGTTGACCCTTGTGCTGTGATTCCAGCAGCTACTGCCCATCATGATCCAGGTTCATTACTTCAGTGCTGATTGGAAGATGATAATATTCCCGGTTTATTAGCCTTTATTAACTTGGCAGACTTCTGTGATGAGAGGCATCCATTGATTAGCCCAAGCTACAGTTTGTCCAGGAAAGAAGGGTAGCCACATGATTCTCTTTATTTACTAATTTTTAAAATAATGAATTCATCTCATAGCCAGCTCTGAGCTACTTGTTTTTTGGTGTCTTTACAAATATAATTTGCAGCTGTTATTCACGGCTCTGCTTTGATTTTCTCATCGTTGGCAGAACATTTCTACTCTGCTTTGTGAATATGAGGCCTCGGAACTTGGAACCCAAGTTCCTTAAGTGGGAAAAGATATGTTGAGACCAAAACTTGGGTATTAGGGATTACTTCTCTCTTAGTCACTGTTTTTGGATATTTTCAGTGGACAGAAATAGAAAATAATTTTTTAGCGATGTCATGCGTTTTGAGTTCACAGTGATATTGCCAGTTCAGGATGAAGACCGCAGGGACTTTGTGTAACCTTCTGTCTTGTATCTGGGTTTGCTTTGTCCTTTGTCTAGAATTGTAGTCCTCAGGGTCGTGAAAAGGGATGGGGCACGAGAGCCACGCAATCGATTGTTGCCTGTAGTCCTAATTTTCTGTGTGTTTTGTTTAATTTCTTCTCTCAGTCCCATCAGTTTTCCTTCTGTTATATACATTTTCTTCCATGTCTTTTTTTTTTAGCTTCAGCCTACACATTTTATGCTGTATTTTCTTTATCATTTACTTCATAATATCTTCTCATTTCATTGTAATTTCTGTTCACCGTAGATAATAACTGCCATGTGACAGATGAAGAACAGGCACATGGAGAAGTCAGACCATGCAGCCTACATCACGGAGCTAGTAAGCTGAAAGCCTGTACAAGCAGCTCAGGGGGTCAGGTTCCAACATCCGTGACCTTCCCATGTGACACCCTTACTCCGTGTGGTGGGTACGAAAGATGCTGAAGGGAGCCAGCACAGAAGACATGTTGGTTAAGAAGAATAAGAAGGAAACATTGAAGTAGTTGAGTGAATCTCCTGCCAACTCAGTCCCCAGTGCTGTGTTGTTATTTCAAGTGACACTAGAAATGGATCAAGAAATAGTCTGTATTTATTTAACAGTCATCAGTCTTTATCCATATTTTAAGCTCGTGATGGGACAATTAAGAGTAGAGACGGAAACAAAAGACACAGAAAAAATTTATGAGGTATTAGAGAAGGTTTTGAAAATATTCATATGCTGTGTTGTTGTTTGGGTGCAGTCCTTCTTAATGTCCATGAAACAGGCAAGTCTAACTCTCAATAAGTGTATTTGAAAAGTCAATGTAACCCTCATAGGTGAAACAAAATACCTCATATCTATTTTTTTCAAAAATTCCTTTATTAGTTATTTTCATTTCATTTGAAAGGAAATAGAGAGAGAGAAAGAGAGAGAGAGAATCTTC